GTCAAATCTGGACAGGACAGCCTTCCAGGCCTTTTTTTTTATTGTCATTATAGTATTACAGATAACCCTGTAGCAGCCACATCCGTGCTCAAGCCTCCAACGAGGGAACATGCGGGAGCTGCACCCACCAGCAGGTGTGATACCTGCTACAGCAGGTGGGCGATACCGGCTAGGGGTCAGCCGGTAGCATCAGGACCGAGCTTCTTCGATGGGCCAGTCACTGTGCCTCCCCTCTGGTCCCCTCCCCCTATGAACATCAGCAGTCTCTGCTCAATGCCACTCGGGGGGACCAACGGCATATCTCGAGGTGGCGGACGCCAAGCTTGCCCAGGAAGGTGCATGAGGCCAATGGGGATTGAACCCAAGACCTCCTGAATGCCACTTGCGTGCCTTACCAACTGAGCTTTCATTTTTTGGCCCGCCTCCGCCACCGTGTGCACGATAACTCCCAGACGACATTCGGCTGACGAGAATCGTGTGCGGTTCATGCGTGCTATGCTGCCGTGGGCAGGTGGCACAACTTCGGGCCGGCGTTGCTGGACTGCTCCATGCCATGGGCCCAAGCAACTGTGAGGAATCGCGTGGTTGAATCCACACTTGCGAGGGCTGACATGCGCTACGTTCCGAAATTTTGGAAGGTACCCCTTTAAACCGACATGGGGGCTTCGCGAGATTTCACACCTCCTCCACCATTCCAGAGGAGGACCTAGGACTTCGCGTGTTTTGCAGGCAGGCAACGGGTATGGACGCAAGCGTGTGATAAGCTCAGATCCGTACCGCGCCGCTTGCCGTATCCCTGGGGAAAAAAACCGCGGAAGCCCCGAAGTACGGGCGCGGATAGAATGGGGTTTTCTTTCTTTTTGCTTTTGTTTTCTTTTTGAAACGACTTTTTCATTTTGTTTGGTTAAAAGCTCCCGCGGGCGAATAGCAGCCGCGGTATGAAAACCAAGAAACAGGTGCGGTTGGGACTTTTTGAATTTTTGCGTGCGCGCCCAAGCTCCGATCTCTTCGTGCGTCTCGCATCCCAGTTTCTTGCTTTGCATCCTCGCGCCATCTTCCTTTCTTGCTACGCGCATTTTCCCCATGAGAGACTCTTCGTCTTTCCCTCCGCCCAGCTCGATCCTTACCCCGTGAAGTGATTGGCTGCGTAGTTGGGATGCTCGGATCAATGTGGAGAGCGGGAAACCACGCGCCACTTGAACGGACACCCCAATCACGTAGGACCATGCTATCCCGCGGGATGAACCCTCTAACTCCCCACGCCCCCTCCTGTCCTGCTCATCTACAACCTGCGCTGCCCGCACCTCGCACTGACAACCCGCCGCCCCCCGCACTATAAATTCGTGCAACCCTCTCCTCTCCCTCTCTTTGATTTCGACTGCAATGCTGCGCGAGCTATGCGCGAGAGTCCGCGGCGCCGAACAGGCTTGACGAGCCCAAGGACGGGCGGAGTGACGACGTAGGGTGGACCCGCGATAATCTCGGGGCGAAGCAGTCGCAGGGACTGAGCAGTGGTGGGGATTGGACACCGGCTGTAGCAGGGCCTTGTGGCTATGGTGGTCGGTCGTCTTGGGGAGTTTTGAAGGCTGCGCCTGGGGGCGGCAGCTAATTGAAATTTTTGTGTACAAGAAGGACTCGCTTTTATCTCCATTGCTGCTTTGTCTATGCATGTCGTGTGTGTGTGAAGCCCCGAGTGATGGGAGTTGTTGTGCACATGAGTGATGTCGAAGGTCCATGGATGATTAGATRTCCTGTCACGGGTTGTTGATGGCATGCATGTATGTATGTATGTACTCGTCCGGGCGGGGATGGGGAAACTGAACTGGGGGACTGTCTGCTTAGGATTACGAGTGTGTTGATCCGGTTGTTCCCCTCCCCTCCGCGGCCTTTCCCGCCCTCGCGTGCGGTTTCGGCGTAACTC